CCCTGGTATTTTTGGCCACGGTGTGCCACAGAGTGTTGGAGTGGATGGGCCATTGGCCTGATCCAACATGGCTTCTCTGATGCTATTATATGGAGCAGAGGTCCATCAGTGGCTCTTAGCCACAGGGTACAGATAGGAACTCTCGATCTGGGGCAAGTGATGCTCTGTATTCTTGGTGCTTGGATGGGGGGGGCAACAGTGGGAGGGCTTCTGGTGTCCTGGCCCCACTGCTGGACCTCCTGATGGCATCTGGTATCTTTGGCCACTGTGTGTCAGAGTGTTGGAGTGGATGGGCCATTGGCCTGATCCAACATGGATTCTCTGATGCTATTATATGGAGCAGAGGTCCATCAGTGGCTCTTAGCCACAAGGAACAGATAGGAACTCTCAATCTGGGGCAAGTGATGCTCTGTATTCTTGGTGCTTGGATGGGGGGGGCAACAGTGGGAGGGCTTCGGGTGTCCTGGACCCACTGCTGGACCTCCTGATGGCAGTGGTCTTTTTGGCCACTGTGTGTCAGAGTGTTGGAGTGGATGGGCCATTGGCCTGATCCAACATTGGCTTCTCTGATGCTATTATATGGAGCAGACGTCCATCAGTGGCTCTTAGCCACAAGGAACAGATAGGAACTCTCGATCTGGGGCAAGTGATGCTCTGTATTCTTGGGGGTGGGGGTGGGAGGGCTTCGGGTGTCCTGGCCCCACTACTGGACCTCCTGATGGCACCTGGTATATTTGGCCACTGTGTGATACAGAAGAGTGTTGGACTGGATGGGCCATTGGCCTGATCCAACATTGGCTTCGCTTATGTTCTTATAAATCTGCCTGCTCACTGGATTCCCTATGGATCCCTTCTCAGGAGTAGGGTGCCACTGGCCCTCAATTTATACACAGCTTGTGAGACTCCTTCCTATGGGAACCAGACTCTCTTGGCACTCTGTTGGCATGCTGTTCAGCCGGGACCACATCTGTACCAGTGGGTTTGATCTACAGCGGGTTTGATTGACAGTACGGCTTCTGTGTCAGGAACATATTTGTGCAAGTAATCCAAACACAGTAAGAAAATGTGCTTCTTTTTCCTATTAAATCCCACAGTTATGGAGCTTTTCTCAGGCTCAGAAAGCTTTTCATTCTTCAGTAGAGTTTTTTGGCAAATTTTGAAAAAATGTTCAAGTTCAGTGGCACCTTTTAAGTCCAACGAAGTTTTATTCAAGGTGCATGCTTTTGTGTGCATGCAACACTTCTTCCGATACATTGAAATGGAAGTTACTATTCCATGCATATAGGTAGAGGGTGAGCAGCAAATGAGCATACAGCATAATAAAGATGTTTAACAGATGCAAGGACCAAACAGGAATAACAAACTTAGTTTCTACGGTCACCTTTTGTTTGGATTTAATTCCGGGGGGAAACGTAGTGAAGCAAATAAAGATATCCCTGGAAGGCCAGATAATGAAAATGAAGCTCAAATACTTTGGTCACCAAATGAGAAGGGAGCACTCACTGGAGAAGACCCTGATGCTGGGAAAGATTGAAGGTCAAAGAAGACGGGGACGGCAAAGGATGAGATGGTTGGACAGTGTCATCGATGCAACGAACATGAAACTGAGCAAACTTCAGAGGACAGTGGAAGACAGGAGGGCCTGGCGGGATCTAGTCCATGGGGTCGCGAAGAGTCGGACTCGACTGTGCGACTGAACAACAAATATAAATGTACCCTTCTTTAATTTCAGAATGCTGAGAGCAATGTTCCCTCTAAGTTGTGGAGTCCTGTGAGCAAAAATTCTACTTTGTGAGCTACTGGCATTAGAGTTGTGAGTGAGCGATTTGGCTACTGCCTAAATTAGTTTGCTCTGGACTCGGAGCCGTCCTTCCTGAGCTAAGACAAAAATGTGTGAGCCAGGGGCTAAAAAACTGTGAGCTAGCTCACACTAACTCAGCTTAGAGGGAACACTGGCTGAGAGTGATTAACGGAGACCCTGTGGTTTCGTTAGCATGATATCCAGTCCTGCAACTGCACTGAGAGTTTTCCTTCTAGCTATGATGAGAGCTGTGTGGAACTGGTTTTCCGCCTCCCCAAAATACACGTTTGCTGGAGGTCTAACCAAGATCTAACCAAGGAAACCGCACCGTTCAAAGTCAGAACCCCACGGACTTTGGAAGAGGTGCTCTTGTCTAACATTTCAGGTCTGTTGAAGAAATACATGAAATGGTTAAGGGGTCATGTGACGAACCCCCTTATTTCAGAGTATGAGGGGGTTTGTTCCTTTAACCTTTCACAGGCTGGAGCAGTCTCATTTTCCACTGACACTGTCCGCCAGCCTCTTTTAACCAGGAACCCACACAGTTCGTCCTTCTGTCACAAATCTCGTCACTTATTTATTCTGGGGCTTTTCATGAACACTGCCCCTTTTTGTGGGATGAAGCTTACTGTTTAACTTTGTCCAATACTGAGCTCTGTCAGACACTGAGGCACACGCAGCATTGAACAATAAAACCAACTGTAGACTTTATTTACAAGGGCGGGCAGGCAGGGAATATATATATAGGGGTCATTTCCTGCAGGAGCGCACAGGAGCGAAGCTCCAGCAGTAAAAAGCCCAGGGGGCGGGCACATGCAACAAGCCCCACCCCCTGCTCCCAGCAGCCCTCAGTCAAAGCAAGAAGCAGCCAGGTAAGTTGCAGAGCCCCCCATGGACCCCCAGTCCAAAACAGTCCAGTGGCACCTTTAAGACAACGTTTTATTCAGGTACAAGGTCTCCCTCCTCTACGAGGACAGATCTGCACGTTCCCCCCCCCCATAGCTAGCAATCCGAAACAGTCCAGTGGCGCCTGAGCGGTGGGTGTTGCCTTCTGAAAAACTTCCAGTGATGTCAGGGGGTGTGGCATATGCAAATAAGTTATGCTAATGAGTTATGCTATTGAGCTCCTGCACCACTTTTTCTATGAAATGACCCCTGTATGTGGATATATATATATACACACACACACACACACACACACACACAAGGAAAAAGCTGATGCAGGTGGATACGTAGTTGCAAATGGTTAGTTCCTTTATAATCGGAGCTGCGGTGGCTCAAGAGGTTAAGATGCTGAACTGCAGGCTGTGGAAGGTCAGTAGTTCAGCAGTTCGAAACCTGTGTGCCGCATGACGGAGTGAGCTCCCCTCTCTAGTTCCAGCTCCTGCCAACCTAGCAGTTCGAAAGCAAGAAATTCCAAGTAGATAAATAGGTACCACTTCGGTGGGAAGGGAACAGCGTTCTGTGCGCCTTGGTGTTTAGTCACGCCGGCCACATGGCCACGGAAATGTCTTCGGACAGCGCTGGCTCTTCGGCTTTGAAACGGAGATGAGCACCGCAACCCTAGAGTCGGATTCGACTGGCTTTCGAGCAAGGGAACCTTTACCTTTATAATCATTCCCTTTATATGTCACAATGCACAACACTCTAAACTCAGCCCATGTGCTGTTCTTTTTTCTTTTTTTTTCAAATTAGTTTTATTCATTTTACAATTACAACAAGATTATACCGGATAGGTGTGTACATATAGGCTGCATATACATATATTACTTTATACATACAAATAGTACTCTATATAGTCTAGTCTAAAGGTGATGTATTCCATTTTCATACAAGTCATGCATTGTGCCATGAAAGCTTAGAGTCTAATCTAAATAGCCTAGTCTATAGAGTGATACTTTCCATTTTCATGCAATTCGTACAGTAGATCTGTAATACATTTTGTGATTGCTACGTAAGGTGAAGAGTAGTTATTATTACATCAGGTACTGTTCCTTTAGTGGTTAGATGTGCTAATATGGGAGACCATAGACTTGTAATATCATTCTGATCACCTTTAGATTTGTTTAGTTTCAGAATGTCCGAGATTTTTTCCATTATGGGTATGTTCCAAAGTTTTTTATACCAGAAGTTGACGTTCAGATTGTTTTTTTGATTTCCACGTGGTTGCTATTGTGGTTTTGGCTGCAAACGGTAATAAATTGTTTCTTTTCCTTTGTATAGTAGATAGAGCGTTTTCCTCTCTGAGATTTAGAAGTAGTGCTTCCGGGGATGTGTCAATTATGTTTTCATTTATGTTCCTTATTTCCTCTATTATTCTGTCCCAGAAGGATGCTACTACAGGACATTCATACCAGCAGTGTGTGTAACTGCCTGTTTCTTTGTGTCCCCTTCGGCCAGTTTTGGTGTGGATTTCTCTGGTACTCTCCACCTTTACAGATAAATACCTCCGCTGTGCCTTGGTTTTGATTTTGGACATCCACTAGTCCAATAAACACTCCTGGCACGCACTAAATCCACTCAACTAGGCTCTCTTTCTCCAGCAGGGTATAATTTCTATGTGAGAGAAATGTGTATCTCTTATTTAACCACCAGGAGCTCATTTTTCTTTTTAAGACTCCTTAGTTTTCACTGTGGTTTTCACGTTTGGTTTTTCTCAGATTCTCTTAATATTGGAATCTGATATAGACATCTCATCTGCTCCAACATGACTTGTCAGTCTCCTGGCGCAGTACCATAGAATCATAGAATCATGCAATGTTAGAGCTGGAAGGGACCTTGCAGGTCATCTAGTCCAACCCCCTGCACTCTGCAGGAGTAGAGCCGAAAGAGAGCCCTACAATATACCCGAAAGATGGTCATCCAGCCTCCGCTTGAAAACGTCCAGCGAAGGAGCATCCACCACCTCCCGAGGCAGACTGTTCCACAACTACTCTTACATATAGGAAGTTTCTCCTGATATTTAGCCGGAACTAACTCCCTTGTAATTTCCGCCCATTAGATCT